CACGCTCACCGGCAGCTCCGGCTCTGGTAACGGCTGCTCGCGCCACTCGGCCGCTCCCGCCGATACCTCAAGCTACTAGAACGTTCTTCGATTTCCGCTTCCGGGTCGTCTTACGAGCCGCGTTCAAAATAATACCCAAATTGGGCGCGTCTAGCCATCCAGAGCCATAGAGTTGAGGCGCAGCCGCTAAGCGCGGCGCCCACAGGAGTCGCTGTTTTCCGGTTCCTCACAGGAAGCCGCGCTGCTTTCTGCGGTCTTGTTTCTCCGGCCGCCCTTCCCAGCTGGTGAGGCCGTGGCCGCCGAGGAGACTACTATCATCTTTTCCCGCTCGGTGCCTGGAACGGAAAGACTTAGGTTTGCCTGACTAGTTCGAGGGACGAGTTAAAGGAACGGACAGCGAAGGGGCGGGGCATCCGGAGGGCTACTGAGAGGCCCGGAAGTGCAATTCTCGCGGGTTCCTCGGAGTCCGGGCTGTCTCCAGCCTGCTGACGGAAGCTAGGAACACCCAAAGTCTGAGGCCAGGCGTCCAGACCGGCCCCGCCGTCGTGACCACCTGCAAGTCGCGTCCCTCTGCTTCCGTCGACCGAGGCTTGAAGTGAGTCGTAAACGAGCTGCTTCCAGCGTCACCCTGGAAAACGGAGCGAGCTTGTGTAACGCCGAGCGGGTGAGTGCCGCAATGATCGCCGCGTCCGTCTACTCCGCGGCGTCTGTTGGATGGCTGTCCAGACTTGGGGCTGTTCAGGCATGTGGAGGAAAGCTGGTTCGCTCGGACTTCTCCTAAAGAGGTCGGAACGATCGCTCGGCTTGGGAGGCTCGTGCGGCTTCGTCGTCCCAGCCGTGCTTCCCACAGGAGTAGATCTCGTAGGGCTTGCCCTGTCCTGGGGCCGGGAGCTCATCTGCTCAATTTTTGTTATTGAGAGGGCATCTCGCTATGGAGACCCGACTGGCCTCCATCTTCCGCAGAGATCCGCTTGCCTCTGCCTCCATGGGTTGGGATTAGAGTTTTGAGATTAAAGGATTGAGCTGGGCGGTGGTGGCGCACGCCTTTACTCCCAGCACTCTGGAGGCAGAGGCAGGCGGATCTCTGAGTTCGAGGCCAGCCTGGTCTACAAAGCGAGTTCCAAGACAGCCGAGAGTGTTTCACAGAGAAACCCTGTCTCAAAACAACAAGAACAACAAGACTGGACTGAGGTTAAAGGCTTGAGACACCCCCACCTCCCAGCTGAGACTATAAAACGTGTTTCGTGGGTTTGTTAAGATTTGCAGTGTGTGGCTACTGCAAGTGCTCTTGGAGGCCAGAAGAGGGCATTGGATTCCCTTAGAATTGGAGTTAGAGTTGGTTGTGAATCAGCTGATGTGGATGCTGGGTCATGTTTGCTCTTTTTGAGACAGTATCTCCCTATGTAGACCAGGCTGACCTCGAACTCAACAGTTGTCTGCCTGCCTCTACCAACCAAGTGTAGGAATAACAGTGTTATACCAGCATCTGGCTAAAGGTTGTGTTTTGTTTTTTGATGGTTTTTTAAAATGTGTATCAGTGTTTTTACTTGTATGTATGTCTCCAAAAGAGGGTGTTGGAGACCCTGGGACTGGAGTCGGGGCAGTTGTAAGCCCCTGTGTGATTGCTGGGAACCACACATGGATTCTCTGCAAGAGCAAGTTGTCCAGTACTGTAAAAAAACATGAGCTTGTTTTTAACAGGACAAGGAGGTGCTTTCTCATATAAGGCTGCTTCTCTTGAAAGCAGTCCTGGCTTCTAAGTGTGCCATCAGAATAACTCTGGAAGAAGAGCTGACTGTCTCGGCCCCCTAGCAGCCCTGGACAGAGCCCAGCATGTCTCAGGCCACCAAGAGAAAGCATGTGGTGCGGGAGGTGCTGGGGGAGCATGTGGTGCCCTCGGACCAGCAGCAGATAGTAAAGGTGAGCGGGCTGGGGCTGCGTGAGGGAGGGTTCGGTGCAGGACAGTGTGTACTTGCTGACACGCCTAAGTCTTGGTCTTTCCTGGAGCAGGTTCTCAGGACTCCTGGTAACAATCTGCATGAGGTAGAGACAGCCGAAGGGCAGCGCTTCCTGGTGAGCATGCCCTCCAAATACCGCAAGAACATCTGGATCAAGAGAGGTTAGAAGCCATATCCCTCCGCAGTACAGGGCCAGGCCTCGGCTCTTGATTTTCTCCCTCACGCAGGAACACCTTTGTCTTTGTCACCTGCAGGGGACTTCCTCATAGTTGACCCTATTGAAGAGGGAGAAAAGGTGAAGGCTGAGATTTCTTTTGTGCTCTGCAAGAACCACGTGCGCTCTCTGCAGAAGGAGGGGCACTGGTAGGATAATCTTGGGTTCTGGGGTAGTGACTTCCTTGCTAGGGAATGGGGCAGGGGCGGGGTGAGGTTATGCCTTCCCAAGAGGGACATTTGGAAACAACTGTTTGCTGAGAGTCTCTCTTTGTGTTCTGACCTGGCTTTTCTCTTCTCACAGGCCTGAAGCCTTCTCTGAGGTAGCTGAGAAACAAAGCAATATGAACAGGTGAGGAGCAAGCCCCTCAAAAGACAAAAATACAAGTTCACACCTTGGTGCCTGAAGGAGAAAGATGGTCCTGCTTTTCTCCTGTTGAGAACTTCAGCATACATAGTGGAGTGGATAGCCATGAGTGTGGCTTGGCAGGCTCATGCCCCACATTACAGTGTTGACTTACTAGGCAAGTGTCTTCAGGTGCGTTGTTTAATATCTTCAGACTGACTCTTAACTGGGTATGCTAGTACATGCCTGTAATTCTGGTGGAGGCAGGAGTTTGAACCAGCATGGTCTACATGTAACGGGTCCAAAGCCAGCCTGAGCTACATGAAACTTTTTCTTTTAAAAAGAAAAAAAAAGTTCATCTAAGAGGATTATGTAGAGTAAGGAAGGCAATGCTTAGTGTATCAGTTCGCACCTGGAGGTCTCAGCCCCTTTGGGAGTCACATGTCAGATATCCTGCATATAAGACATTTACGTTATGATCCATAACAGGAAAATTACAGTTATGCAGTAACAATGAAATAATTTTGTGATTTGGGTCATCACAGCATGCGGAACTGTGTGAAAGAATCAGAGCATTAGGAAGTTGTGGGCCACTGGCTTAGCACATCAGCTGTTGGAAGTGGGAGCTCCCTGCATCTCTGATGCTAGCAGAGTTAGTTTTTGCTTCCTTACTGAAATCAGTGATGGGGTGGATAGGAGGTAATCCTTAGTGTGTTTCTCTGTTTGCTCTTCTTCCAGAAGCCCCTCCTGTTTCCTTGTTTATTACGTAGCCCAGGCTGTCCTCAAACTCACCATCCTCAGCTTGCTACGTCCCAGGCATGTGCTACCACATCAGCGTTTTGGGCTCTTGGGTTTTTAGAGCCATATCGGTTCCTGAGAGTTGAGATGATGGTCCTGATTTTCAGAAGCTCTGGGTCATAGGTCTGGTTTTCCCAGATGTTGCTTACTGTGTCTTTCGCTCACACAGACAGAGTCAGCCAGAACTCCCCGCTGAGCCACAGCTGTCAGGAGAAGAGTCCAGTTCTGAAGATGATTCTGACCTCTTTGTCAACACCAATCACAGACAGTATCATGAGAGTGAGGAGGAGAGTGACGAGGAAGAGGAAGAGGAGGCAGCCTGAGCCCAGGACTCGCTTCTCTACTTGCTCAGGGACTACCCCTTGGTTTATCTGGGCTTGGACATTCCCAGGCTGCCTTGCAAGCCTTTTCTTTTGGATGGGGACAGGACATGGCCCCTTTCTGAACTGACCTAGAAGAATTAAACCCCTGGTGGGTAATGACTTAACACTGGTGTCCAAGTGGCTCTGTGTTAGGGAAGCTCGTGGTGAAGTGAAGCCCTCTTTTCTCGGTGGAGGCCTTGGTCACCTGTTTGTAGAATGGGAAGGAACTGGGGTTTGGCTGGAATCTGTACCATGTAACTTGTTCACAGCACCTCTCTGGGCACTGGGTACCTCATCCTGTGCTGTGCCTCCTTAACTAACAGCAGTCATTACCTGCTTACACTCAGTAGTGATTCTAGTAGTTAAGGTTGCAGCCTAGGGCCTCTTAAGCACGGCTCAGGACAAATCCCGTGGTGCCTTGTGAGCCGCTTCCCTTCCTTCCTAGTTACCCTTACTGTAGCACTGCTTACTGAGTGCTGCCGTGTAAATGACAGCCCATGCACCTCTCTTCACCTCAGCCGCCTGTCATCTCCAAACGTGTCTGGTCAGGGTACCTCTGTCCTTACCATGTCCTGATTTTTTCTGAGTTTTGCTAATCTCCTGAGGCTATTAACTCTCCTATAGTCTTTTCTTGAGATGGTTTCTATAACCCAGGCTTGCTTGGGAATCACTGCCTGGGCTCACCAACTCAGTGGTTGTCCTGCCTCAACCTCCAAAACCTGGGATTACAGGTACAAGCCACTGTCCCTGGCTGGGCTACTGGCCTTGTATTAAAGCCTGTTGTAGCATCCTATCCCTTGTACCGCAACATCAAAAGGCTTGTTGTGCCTCATTCCTTTGCACACAGCGGCCTCCTTTCATGCACTCATTTCAGAGTAGTTTTCCCTGTTACTCTAGCTTGAAGAGCCTTCAGTGGTTCAGGCACTCAACAAGCTGCAAACTGCTGTGAGCCATGTCCTCTCACCTCTTGGGAGGCTCTTCTGGCTGTACACTGCTAGCACTAACCCAGCCACTGCTGAAGACTGGGCTCACAGCTTAGTCTTCCCTCTGCTGGCCATCTGGCCATCCCACAGCAGAACCGTTCAGCCCTGTTGCCAACTCCTATAGTGCTGTGTACTGATTTTTGTTGTGAGCTAATGGGACTTCTACTTTGGAGCCTTCCTCTTGTTTTCTGAAGGATTTTTTTTTTTTTTCTGTTGTGGATTGGTCGATAGTTGATGGGTGTGTGGTCATTATGGGAGGTATATATTAGCCTTGGGTATGCTATATAGAACCTCTTGTTTCCCAACAGGAAATCTGGTGATCACACCCTCCTCAACTCTCTTCGTTGTTTTTTTTTTTTTATGATACTAAATGTATCCTTGAGTATACACATGTATAAAATATAGATGTATAGGGGGCTGGAGAGATGGCTCAGAGGTTAAGAGCACTGACTGCTCTTCCAGAGGTCCTGAGTTCAATTCCCAGCAACCACATGGTGGCTCACA